AATTTAATTTCCATGATAAGATTCAGTTAATCTGTTGAAACTACGACTTGTGGGTTTGGACATTTATAACTAAGTACTAAGGACATTTATAACTCTTTGAAAAGGATGCTAGCACACTCCTTCAATTTCCTACTTAATATCTATGTGAAGCCAAATTTTCTACATACATTTCCACCAAAACAACACATTGCAGCAGATTAAATATGGAAGCACATCTGACAGGACATCTGTTTTCAATTAAACGATCCATTAGAGACATCTTCACAATTAGACTATCATACCATCCTTCTCACATCTTATTGCCTTTGAAAACATAAATCTCTCCAGAAAACATTTCATTTCATAAATTATTTGATATATAAAACATTTTTTAACATTTAAGAGTTTTTCACTTTATTAAGATTTTTCTTATATTAACTCTTGAGATAAATATGATAGATATATTCCATACAAATTGCAGTGTTATGGGGAATAATCAATGACTCCAAAATTTTAACTGGGTACTGAATCATAAGACTGCTCATCAGTGGGTTTGGAATCACAGAGTTATGGGTTTATATCTTTGCTCTGATTGTTTACTAGATAAAACATATTGGTCCAACATTAGACTGGTAAAGCTATTGGGAAAAAGGGGAGAGAGAGAGAGAGAGAGAGAGAGAGAGAGAGAGAGAGAGAGAGAGAGAGAGAGAGAGAGAGACAAGAGAGAGACAAGAGAGAGAAAGAAAGGAGATGTGTGATGTTTAGAAAGAATCATCTTGTGTGTGACAGCGAATTTGATTATGAATATATATGCTGATTCCTGGGAATGTGCCACTTATATTAAAATGCTCTACAGTTCTGAAACATATTGGAAGGGAGGATCATCCTTTTCATATGATTTCACAAAGTGATTTTTCCTATTTGTGTTACTACTGTCTCTATATTACATGGATAAATTATAAATTTGGAATGGATTTTGTACATATATCCCATTGTCACAACATTAATGAAAAACATAAAATGTAGATTCTCTGTTTATATTGAATATGTTAAACTATGAGGGTAGCAAAAAAATTTCTGTAATAAATAGAAATATGGATTTAGGCTCACCTTTCCTTCACTCCTTGTCCCTACAAAACACCATGAAACAAAACATTAGTAATAAGTAACAAAGTATTTAGCACTTTTACTCTCTCATAATACCTCCTCCAGTAAGCCATGGTGTGTTATGCACCTGGCAACAAGAAAGAGCCTCTGGCACATATACTGTAAGTTCAGCTCAGCATTAGATAACATGAGGCTAAAATAAATAAGACAATTAAAGAATAGATCATGAAAAATAACTTAAGCATATAAAGATTTTTTAAAATGAGAAACATTCTAGCAATCATACAGATTGTAGCATATTCTAAAGATTTCCAGAATATAGAAAGTGAAGAAAGTTTTTTTAAACTGTGATTTTTTTTCTAGTTTCTTTGAATCTCTGGTAATAATTAATCATATTTCATCAGTAAATAGGGATGAAACTAAGAATAACTTCCAGACTTTCTTCTAGAGATGTGCAAACAAGACAACAGAGTTTCATTTTTCAACTTTCAACCTAAGCAAAAGGTGGAGGCTTAGTCTTGATTATCCAGGTGTTTGTAATTCTAAAAATGAATTTCCTTGGTTACTTCCCTTAACAGTGAAAACAAATATTTAGTATTGCTTATCAATCACATTTTTCAAGGATGAAGAGTTATGGGAAACATTTATTCCTTGATAAAAATTTCCTGTTTCTAGAGTAAACCATAATTCCAAAGTTAAGCAAAATAACCCTTTGCTTACCCAATTTTACACTAAAAAAATAGTATTATGTTTACTTTATTGTCCTCAAACCCTGTCACTTAGGGACAATATAATTCAAAAGTTATGCAAAACAATCATGTGATTACCCAATTTCACATAAAATTATGTATTATGTTTACTTTACTGACCTCAAATCCTGCCACTAGAGGACCATGTGTCCTGTGTGTTCCACGTCTCTCCCGATTAATTCATCTTTCCACCCTAATCAGAGAAGCATCTTTTTGCAGCACATGACACAGAGACTCACAATTAGTCCAAACAAAGAATCTAAGAGACTTCAGAGCACTCAGCTCTGATGTGACACCTAGTTCAATATCTCCTCTTGCCAAATTTGGGAATCGTTGCAGGAGAAGTGGCAAAAATGTTGGACCCAGAGAGAGTAGATAATTACACTGGATCACTTCTTTTCAGGATACACCAGAGCAGATCCTAATATCAACTCAAAGCGTTTGTGACAGCATGAACAAGACCTGTACAAGATCAAACCAGATAAAATCTCAATGTGGAAGGAAACAGTGGTTATGAAGTTCCACCCCTATCTGAGGAGCTATTAGTTACTGGAGGCTGCTGAGAAAGGGGAGTCAATTTTCTTCCTGGATACAACTCCTCAGAGACTACCCATCCTCCACATTACTCCACCACCACCCCGTCCCCCATATACATGCAGGCAATGTTAGGTTTAAAAAAAAAATGAAGAGGGAACGAATAGAACAGGAAGAATGGAGGGATTGGAGCAAAGTGAACGAAGATTTGACCTGATTAAAACACATTGCATGCATGTACAGAATTCTCTAACATTAAAAAAATTAGTGTTAAAACTATCACAATCTGTTTTTGGTATTAAACTTTAACTTGCATCAGTCTTTCAAACAAAAACAAAAACAGTCCCTCTCCCTCTTTTCATTGGAGGATCCCCTCTTTTGGAGGTCAGCCTTCTTCACCACTTTAGTTTCCGTCTTGTGTTTCACTACTTACATTGCCTCACCTTATTCGACTGCTGCTAGAATCGAAATTCTAGATGCTGGTTACTAGAATGAAGGATAAATCTCTTCCATGCTTTCCTTAAAGGTCCATGAATTGTGAATATGTGCTAATAAAAATTATTTTCTGAAGAATGTTTTAAGAGTAAAAGTTACAACGTTTTCCCTAATTGACATGCAACTCATACTTATACATGCTTCAACTGGCTAAGCAATGTTGCATTACCTCATAAAAATTAATAATATCCAACTGCGTGATATTAAAAAAATTAATTTTGTTCAGAGAGGTATCATTTATTTTAGACCTATAATACACCTTTAACATTTTAATCTATTTAATACATTCTCCACCCACTGGGCTTTCTATTCTGCATTTTTTGTTTTGTTTTTCAAGATAGGGTTTATCTGTATAGCATCTCTGGCTGTTCTGGAACTCACTTTGTAGACCAGGCTAGCCACTGAGTACTCAGCTCACTAAGATCTGCCTACCTCTGCCTTCCAAGTACTGGGATTAAAGGCATGTGCCACCATATTGGCCACATCTTGAAATTTAAAAGCAAAAGAAATTAAATTCTTTTCAGAAGTTGGCAGTGTATGCCTTTAATCACAACACTTGGAAAGCAGAGATAGAGGGATCTCTGTGAGTTTCAGGCCAGCCTGGTCTACAGAAGCTACAGAGGAACCCTGTCTTGTAAAAAGAAAAAGGAAGGAAGGAAGGAAGGAAGGAAGGAAGGAAGGAAGGAAGGAAGGAAGGAAGGAAGGAAGGAAGGGAGGGAGATTAAATGCTTTAGTATTTTCTGCCCACACTTACAATCTTATTCATACCTACTTCACAATTCATTCTTAATAAGCACCATTTTTAGAAGAAAATATGTTCTTTCTTCTAAACAAGGAGATGTTTATCTCCCTATTCCCACATCCCTCTTCCAATTGAGTTTTAGACTTTTGACATTTGATGAGCAATTGTTCATTTACAAGGTATTTCCATTGTGTGCTGTGTGCTAGAAATTGAACTAAAAATCATGTATAAAATTTTAATCAACATATTTAGTTAGGTAATAAATAAACTCATGTTGACTTATGAGATGTTTTGGAAACTTACATACTAAGAAATATTTATATGGTTCATTAGTGACAAAATGAAAAAAATTGTAACAAATCAGAAAAGATTTTCTGAAAAGTTAATATGTGAATTGAAGCCATAAAGGAAAGTAGGAAGCTTCCTGTTTGATGGGTAAAAGTAGGTGTGGTCGTTTGAATGTATATGGCCCCAAGAAGCTCATAGGGACTGGCATATTAGGAGGTGTGGGTGTGGCTTTGTTGGAGTAAATAAAGCCTTCTTGGAGGAAGTATGTCACTGTGGAGGTGGGCTTTGAGGTCTCAGGTATGCTCAAGCCACATCCAGTCTTTCAGTTTATTTCCTATTTTCTGATGATCAAGATGTAGCTCCTTCTCCACTCTGTACTTTTTCTCCAGCACCACGTCTGCCTGCATGCTGTCGTGCCCTGCCATGATAGTGATCGAATAAACCTCTGAAACTGTAAGCCATCCATTAAATGTTGTTTGGTTTTGTTTCTATAAGAGTTGCTGTGGTCATGTTGTCTCTTCACAGCAATAGAAACCCCAACTAAGACAGCAGACTGCACTGGTCTTTCATGAGATGTCTTTTCATAAACAATAATGTGGTTTTGAGCAAACACCCATTTACATGGTACTAATGAGACAAGAGAAGGAAAGGATAGTGGCTTTCTAACCAGAGTTATCCTAGAATTTCCTACAGAAAAATGTGCCTAGGCAAACCATACCGTATGTGTGTGCAAATTCTGCTGCAGAAATGTCTGTCTTTTCCCACACTTTGTTTTCAGATGGGGTCCACATACACTCTGTTATGGTAAAGATGTACAGGACCCATTTACACACTTACAGTGGAGGGGTCTAGGAGACAGTCACACTCTGTTGCAGTGGAGGATCTTAGGAGCCAAGTTTTATCTCAGTCTGTTACTCTCTATTTCCTCTCACAGACCAACAGAGGGTTAGTGGCCAAAATCAAAGAAACAACTTCCACTTCCTTCTCCAATATAAACTTATTTTTGGCACAGCAATCTGATATGTTGTTTTCTGTGGGGTTCTGTTTATGCCTCTGATCTATTAAAATTTCTAAGATTCCTTTATTCCTTTGCCTCAGAAGCCACTGTTTTTCCTGGTGTTCTAAAAGGTCCACTTGAAAAGTAGTCTGTATATATATAAAGTCCTGGGAATGTAAGAGAGAGATCAGCATTTCCACCAAACAGGAACAAAGAAGTCTGAGGTGAGTGGGATCTTGCCTATAGTTTGATAGCAGATGTAAAAAGACAGATGTGAAAATGATTCCCTGGGGTTATATTCTGAATCCCGCATAATGAGACCCTAGGAACTACAGCTACATTCATTGAGTAGCTCGAAGTAGTGTATAGTCACTTAAATGCATGCCACTTGAAAGTAGACGTGACATAGCAGTGATTTGTTCTAAAATACTTCTGTCTGGGGACTGCAATATTTAGGAGTAAGCTTAAGTGGGGTACTATACACAATCAGTGACTTCACTCAGAAAATAACATCAGTTTTCTTGTGTACTGGGAACCCTGCTAACATGGGTGACAAGTGGCAGAAGAACTGTTTAGCTGCAAATACTTTAATATCTTGTGTCTCTCAAATTCTTGAGGGTGATTGATGGTGTATCATTGGTGTTTCTTATATTAAAAAACATTTTTTTTTGTTAAGAAAAAGTCAATATATTTCCTTCGTGATTTTTATAAGATTTATGATAATGTTCCTACATCAAATTCTGGGTGTACAATTTATTTTAAAAGCTTAAACAAGTAATTTAAACGGTTCAAAAATCTCAACAAAACATTGCTTTCTTTTTATTTATTTATTTGCTTATTGTTTGAATATTTGCTTATGTGCATGCATGTTTGTGAACAAGCATGTGCTGTGGAAGTCAGAGAACACCTTTGTAGGAACTAGTTGTTCCAATCCACTACATGTCTCCTGCACACAGAACTCAACTCGTCAGGTTTGGCATCTAAACACACTGCCCTCTGAGGCATTTCACTGGCATCAAATGATTTCTTTCTATCAGTTGGGGAGTTTGACTTTTACTACCACTCCCACTTTAAATTTTACTTTCCATCTACAAATACGCAGTTGATGAGATCAACAGACTGGCATCAAATGTCTTGAGATGATAAGTACTATCAAAAGATTCTGGAAATTTCCCCATTATTAATCACTAGGCTATTTAGATCAACTATGAGAAAAGTAACAAGAATAATGATAAAAGAATGTACATTCCTCATTCACAAATTATTTGCTAAAATTTTTAGATGGAAAAATAAATACTTTTGTAGAACTTACCTTCATAGTCAAGTATAGAAATAAAAAAGGTTCTCTATAGTTCTCCCTTTGAAATACTCAAGTTCTTTAGTACGATAATAATTTTATTCAATATTTACTGTCAGAAATTTGTTCCAGATTTAATGAAAGTGAGAAGTTTGAAGCAGGGGCCATTTTAAATATTTATTTAATAACACTTCATTTCATCAGCAATGTCTTGAATTGATCCTGCTATAGTTATCTATAACGATAGCTAGCTAAGGTTTCTATAGTTATCCAAAAGAACCCTGAAAAAAGGTTAGAAAATGGTCCTCTGATGACTGTAGCTGTGTAGCTGGAACCACTTTGCACCTGTTTTGAGTGGCTGATAAGTCGGGCGCACATGCACATAGTCAGTCTTCGTCCAGTACCAGCTAGCAGCACTAAAAGGCTGGGAGTGCACTTGCAATATCTGCTCTGTAGTAAAGCTGAAAGTATAAGTAGCTAACCCAAAGTTTTGTTTTGTTCAACGTTATTTTGACCTCAAGATTGCTTAGTGCTTGTTCATCTGTCATCCCTAAAATGTAGTAGTTTATGCGTAATCCTGATGGATAAGAAAATTTTAAGATAGTTCACAACTTTAGTCAATATGGAAAATAACCTAATAGTTTCCTATAGATTGTGGCTCATCTACAGTCTATGAAACTAACTGGATGTGTTGTTCTGTTTCTGTGTTTTATTGAGAGTTTTACTTTCTTTTTATTTTTTCAAGGTATCTTTTACATCACGCATCTTGATCCCATTCATTTGCCCTCTACCCCTGCAACCCACCCCGCAAATATAACAAAATTTAAAAGAAAAATTAGTTTCAAATCTTGTCATGGATGCTGCAGTGTGACACAGTGAGTCTCACAGTAAACTGCTTTGTCCAGATATGTTTATCCAGTGTTCATTACAAGAAGTCATTGACCTGGTTCGAGACCTCTGATGACAACTACACTATCTATGCTGGGCCCTCACTAAGACTCTTCCTGTTGTTACCCTGTGTTGTGGAAATCCTGCAGCTGTTGGTCTGGGTGTAAGTCTCCTTCATGTGCCTCAGCAGATTGTAGATGGGATGGATGTTGGGGTTGGCCAATTCATAACCCTGGTTCTGAGCCTGGGAAGCTCCAGAGTGGTCAGCCTGCCAGTTGTCCTGTGTCCTCACCTCCATGGTGAGATCTCTCACCTTTCAGCAATGAGCTGCCCAGGAGCCATGCAACGGCCACTCCCCCACCTGTCTCAGGCATTGACGTGTGTGTGGCAGGGGAAATCTGTCTTCCACCCACATAACATCAGGGCTGAATCACACACACCTCTTACAACAGGGCCAGCCCTTCTGTGCTGCCTAGACAAGGAGCAGGGCCCACTTTCCTAAGTGCTGCAGTTGGCAAGAGGGAGAGTCATCTTGCTCTGTTGTTGGCAGTAATGGGTGTAACAATGAATGGGACCTGCTTGTTGGGGATTCTGTCCTGCCCAGTTCCCCACAGCTGTTTAGTCCCAAAGAAAATCACACAGAGCTCTCTATAAGTTATAAAGCTTATTGGCCCAGGATACTTATTAGTTCTTGTAGCTTATATTAACCCATTATTCTGATCTATTTTTGTCATATGGCTCGGTACCTTTTTCAGCTGGCAGGTCACATCCTGCGTTCGCGGTGGTCTGCACAGGACTGGGAGGAATCAACTTCCTCCTTCGCAGAATTCTCCTGTTCTCATTGCATTATTTCTACTTCTTGTTTGGTTTTTCCACCTATAATCCCTGCCTGGCCAATCAGCGTTTATTTAAAACATGACTGACAGAATACAGACAATTCTCCCACACCTAATGAGTAGGGGCAATGGGGTATCTCTCTCCCACCCATATCACCATATCACAGATGAGTAGTGGGGACAGCTCTACTATGCTTACAAATTTGGGATTGCCTCATCCACACATCTACCAACAAGCTTGGCTCTATTGTGTTGCCCAGGTGAGGTACAGAGCCTGATCTCCTTAGTGTCACAGTTGATGAGAGTCAGGAACTATTTTCCCACTCTTGTGACCTTTGGGCCATTTCTCCTACCTGTCTCAAGCATTGATGGGTGGATGGGGATGACTTTTCTTGGTGGAAATTTTTAAGGTAATACTAATTTGAAAGAGAGACATTGAGGAGATGAAGACAAAGAGAGGCAGAGAAACACAAAAAGACAATGGGAATTAGCTTTCTGGAAACTAAGTATTCTCAGCTTGTACATTCATGAGAGTCCTTTAATCCTTCATAGATACTTACCCATTGCTTTAGAGGATTTTTGAGAAGATAGTTTCTCCAGAAACACAGGGTCCTGCCTTTAATACATTTAATGGTGTGCATCCCTGACACCATCCATATTGTGTTTGCCAATTCTGGAGTTCTTTGTGACCCCTTAGAAATCCTGTGATTAAGCCTAGTTTCTCTAACAATCTTAGTCATGGAGAACTGCTGAAAATATTGAAAGAAGTATTGGCTCAGCTTTAGTTTCTCTAGGAACTTATGAATAGCCCATTCTTTCACGTTCATAAGAACATGAAGATTATAAGCCATAAATCTAAAGTGAAACTACTCTTTCTGGCAGAAAACGTGAAGGAGGAGATGTTTCTCTGCTGTAAAGGGTGACTCCTTTCTTTTTCTCTTTTACATAATGTGAGGAGGTGATGACTTAAATGAAATCTCAGCTTACACAGCTTATCAGTATATCTTTTACAGTAGTGGACAGGTTGACCCTCCATCACTTTGATTCCTCATCCTCCCTTCACTCCTACAGCAAGGAAGAGGAAGGAGCTAATGTAGCTGAGTTACCAGGCTATTTCTTTTACAGGGTCTCAAACTATGATTCTTTATCAGTGGTGGCATTGTACAACAAATGACGTCAAGTTTATAAATTTGTTTCCACCTGACCTAGCTATTTTAGAGATGATAATCTCATTAGCATTTATGATTTTTTTAAAAAAACTGCCTCACTCTTCTTTGAAAAGGACCTTTGTAACACAAATACATGTCAGAGGACTGGAAAGATTGCTAAACCTTTTCAAAGCAAGATATTTAATTTATCAGACCAAACACAAATAATATGAATTTGCTATTCAAAGTGATAGTTTTAATTCCAAATTGCAACACCTAAATGTATTTTTAAAGTAATAAAATCACAGCTGATATTCATGTGCCACAAACTGACCCTAAGTAGACAAAGAAATATTGAAACATTAAATTACTCAAGCCTTAAGCTATCTCTTGATTTCAAATTATATCACAAGCTGAAAGAGTCAAAGATGTATGATCCTGGTAGCTGGACAAATGCATAGACTTGCTGCAGGAGCTACTTCCGCTCCTTCAGCCAATAACCTTTAAGATACCAGCCTACTTGGGCATGGTCTCTTTTGTTTTAAAAAGCACCAGAGCCCAGAAGCAAGCTAAGCTAGCCAGGTGGCGGGGGCAACAAGCAGGCCCTCATATTACAGAATGGTGCCCACATGGATAACTGCATTCACAGAAAGCCTGAGGAAGCTTGGGAAAGAATAGAGTAAAGCATGTTTTCTTGGTAGCAGCAATTTCTCGGATCTGCTCTGCTTGAAAGAGGCAAGGAAGCACTCTCATCTAAGAGAGGCTTTCTGACTCAGCTTTAGCTGTAAAGCCTTGCAGCTCTTTTAAGAGGTCCAGCTAAGAAACATTTAAATGGTGTTGATAAAAAGCTGACTGCATGCTTTTTGGGTTTTCTGCCATAGCAGGAAAAAAGTCTTGCCGTTTTAAAATGCTGGCTTTCTGGGCTGTCCTGTTAGGGCAAACTCTGACTCTTTCAGGCAGATGATCTGACTACAGATCATTTGAGTGTGGTTTGTGAGCACACTGCTGCAGCTTGCTTGCTGGCAGGGACCTTGAAACACTGTGGAGTTGTGGTA